CAAGCGGAACAGAGACCCGCTGGGGGACTCAGTTGAGCTGTTCTGTCTCTGTGGGAGGAGAGTGCCCCGCTGCCCGCGCTGACCCTCTTCTCCTCTCTCCCCCTCCTGCTGCGGCTTTAGGAGTGAGGCAGGAGTCGGATGCGAAGGACGGTGCCCAGTCGGTCCACTTCACCTTCCTCATCGGCTGCGTCTTCGTGGCCTTCGTCCTGGGCGCGTTCCTGTCCGGCTTGCTGGTCTCCTGCTATTGCAGCCACAGCCTCCAGAGAGCCAAGCACCCTGGCAAGGACCCGGAGAATGGCATCCAGCGCCCGCTCTCCCTCCGGAGCTTGGCCAAGATGAACGCCCTGCTGGAGAGCCAGGCCAAGGAGGGGCTGATGGAGACAGCCGCCCCCCAGCTCTACACCACGCTGCTGCCCAGCGAGAAGGAGCTCCCCAGTGCCGTGGCCAAGGCCGGGCTCCGAGAGCACCCGGAGCTCTCCGGCTTGCCCACGCCGGAGTCGACACCCGAGCTGCCGGTGAAGAACATGAAGGCCATCCGGAACCAGTGGGAGAAGAACCAGAACTTCAACAACGCCAAGGAGTCTCAAGGCAAGGCGCTGCCCTTCCACACGTCGGTCCCCAACGCCTTCTCCTTCCCCGGCCCGGGAGGGGTCCCCGGCCACCTGCATGGCTACGATGCCCCCCTGGCGGGCTACCTGGACGAGAAGAAAATCCCCAACTCGGAGCGGATCCTGGTGCGGCCGTCCCAGGGCTACCTGTCCAAAGGCGTGGAGGTCACCACCTTAGAAGAGCTGCTGAAACATCTCCACGGGGCCAGTGACCCCCCCCAGAAGGGACTAGGCTGCGTCCCCCCCGCCTTCCCGCCGGCGGTGGCTTTCGCCAACCGGGTGCAACCCAAGATCCCCAACCTCGAGAGCGCCCCGTATTACAGCACCTCCACGCTGCCTCGGCGGTTGGACACCCCTCCGGACGGGCCCTCGCCAGCCTGCCCGGACAAGGCGAGCCGGCCCACCGCTCACAGACATTCCCTCTG